TCTCTACTCTGATACGACCCTCCTTCTCTATAGCACATGTGAAACGGGAAAAACCGTGAAATCCAGCGACCAGAAGAAATTTTTCCCCAAAGGTGCTAATTTCTCCCCTTTCCACAGCGACACCAAATACGACCTCCGCTGCAGATTCCCCAGTGTACGACGTGGCCTGACTGCATATACCCCTCTCCTTCAATCTTCTACTCCGCAAAACTACTGAATAAGGAGTATAGCTGCCCGCGATAGTTTACCGGTGACCTTCGTCGCTCCCGTTCGAGGAAAGCTGGGAGAATTTTAAAATAATTGTGAAAATTCTGTATAGGGAAGGAGGAGGGGTAGCACTGAAAAAAAGGTGGAGGGAGGGGGGGGACCGCTATTACACGGCCTAATCCGATGCTGTACCCCACTTCATGCGTACCACATTTCCCGTACGAAAACTGAGTAGTCGCAGCTGAACAGGGACCAATTGCGAACACCCAGGAAATCCTCACCATTGGCGCACAAAGGAATGGCAGTGTGCGCTCCCACAGCGATCCTCCCAGTCTCTCCTCCTGATATGTTTGAGTTCAAACTTCTCCAAATGGAGAAGTGCAGGACTTACCGTATTTATTGTTGGAGCAAACGCGTAGGGCGCCAGAGTGGTGTGTCGGTAGTATTGAATTTTTATCGTTCGTTTGTGGCGCCGATGTCGACGAAACGCTTTTGGATCTTCGGCCATCAGACGAACGGCGTTCTTCAGCGCCTCGTCCTTCTCTCGTTTACTCATTGAGTCCAGTTCATCGACGTTGAAAGGCAGATCGGCCATGGTTGTGTTCATAATACCTTATATGAAATACATATCTATTTTTTACACCAACCGATTAATTTTCTGCAGTTACAATAAATACAGTCTTGTTCGGCCTGCGGCACGCTAAGGCATGTCAAAGCGAAACGGGGGGGGGAGGCCGGCAGACACAACATTGTGAGAGGTGTAGGCGACCACAACAGCTTGAGTGTGGTCAAGTGGGCTGCGTCGATCCGCAGCCTAACTGCCAGGCCGCCCCCGGGCGTCCCAGCGACGAAGCGGCGCCATGTGGAGGCGGTCCTACTTGCACACGTTAGAGCGCGGCGCCACCCCACCTGCGCTTCCGGTGATGGAAAGCGTGCTAGCTCCCGCCACAAAAGCCCCAAATGGCAGGAACGCCTCCACGCGACACTCTCGTTAGGGCAGCGTTCAGACCTGCCGAGCTGGCGGCGCTTCCGTTCGCGTTCGACGGACCTCTCTTTCATGTGCCACTTCTCCCAGAAGTTCCTTGAACGCACTGCTGTAAAGTCACTTCAAAGAGGCCTGATCACCTATCTCCCGGGCGGTATCTTTTCATGCATGGGCAGGAACGCAGCTAAATAAAAGTACCACTTTACCCACGGGAAAGTGCACGGAAGTGAGGGTGTGGGAGTTATTATCATGTCCAGATGGTACTTATGTCTCCGCCAGCTGTCCTAGGCGCAATGTGCACGCCGAAGGTTGTAACACGTTGTTGGCCACGTTCCGCAGGAAACGTGTTGGCGCGCTGATGAAGCTGATCGAAGAGGTTTACGCAGCAGGCGTAAGGGCGGCACATGAAGAATGGTTTGAGTACGGTTGGCGTGAGGCTAGATGTGTGATGTGTTGCGACCCTTTTGCGTATCGAACGGTAGAGAATGCGAACATTCAGGTATAGTAACCTCTGGACGATTGCAGCTTGAGATGTAGCCATGGAGTGGCGGGAGTGCCTGCCTGGGGGTCCATCCTTTTGCCCACAACTCAGCCTTATTGGATAAGTCCACTTTCATTAACGTGTGCTTGCGCGTGGAGAAAGTCCTGTGTTCTGCAGCCGCGGGCCAGCCCACCTCGCGCACGCAGCGGTCTACCACTGGTTACCGCCCTGTGTGCACCTTCAAAGTCGCATTCCACGGTAAGGAAGAGGGCGGACCCTTCTGAATGAGCGAAATCTTCCAACCAATCCTACTTTATGCTGCGTCTCTCTTTTCAACACGGTAATGAAGAGGGTGGGAAAGGGGTGCGAACAGGCATTCTCTTCTTATTCGCTCTTATCCAAGGGCCATGACTGTGACTCTCCGCCCACCTGATTACCGCGGAATGTGCTCTCAACTTAAATGTTTTCTTGCCAACCGGAGTCAAAATGTGGAATACATATTGCAGCAAGAAGAGATTCTCAATTCCTAATGAACATACCGTTTTCGCCATACAATTGCATTAGTTGGCCTTTTGTGAGGAAGGAGTACTGACGTCCGGCAAGTTCGCGTCGTTGATCTGCTTGCAGACTTTTCTCAAGCCCAAGGAAAACCTTATCGATCGCGTTGGTAATCGATACGAGGTCTGCGTCCAATCCTACCCGTTTCATGTTCTTCATAAGATCCAGTGAGTTCTCAACGATCTCGTTCACTCCTAAATGTACGACTTATAAGAGGGTTCGAGGGAGGAGGCGGTTGCGAGGGAATTGCCTCAGATAAAGCCCTCATTCCGAGCTCGATTTCGAGCACTCTCCAAGCAGACAATGAAGCAACACTGACCGTGTGGGCTGTAGTCTATTCACTGATTACCATATAAAGTCCATAGAAAGTTGGGAATGTAAGTCTTTGGCCTACCGGTAACGTCCATAACAAGCTCCAGTACCGCAGCGCGATCGTTTGCGTTCAGACCAGACTTTTCGAGCACCTCAGGGAATGGGCAGCACGCTGTTTCCGGTGTCATCTTTGTAGAGCGGGAAAAGATTTGGTGAGAGGAGTGATCTGAATGGAAGGGATTCCTCAGCTATCTTCATAGGCATACGTCACGCAGTCGTCCTCAAAGGCTGTGGGCACGATGGCCGGGAGCGGGAGGTTGCTGTCAACGTCATTGGTGGGAGGG